TAGGGCAGAATCAGGGTTTCAGTTTGTTCCATTTTAAAAAGAGAATACACTTGAAACATTCTGGACATGCTGTTTAGAGTTTATTCAGAGTTTTAATGTAGTAGTTGTTTTGTTGTCAGGACAAAGTATTCCTCTGTAATCCATCAAATTATGTTTTTACATCTAAAATCTACACTTGGCAATGCACTCACAAGTTTGGTTATAAGAAAATTAAACTACAAAGAATAATGTGAAGCAACCTGAAAAAGGTCATGTGAAAGTATGGCATTACAAAGGTTTAAAAAAGCACCTGAATGCATTACAAATGTAGAGCTCGTTGCAGCTGATCGACTGCATAATGTCTTTAAGTGAAATTCAACAAACGTCAATGTGTTGAACCTGATTTACTTATTTTAAGTCTTCGGCAACTGAATATATCCTTGCTAAACTAATGAAAACCATTAGCTTGCCAATGCAGTGCAGTAGGGATAAATTCATTAAATAACTGTAAAACGTAAGGCATTAATGTCGATTAAAACCATTAGTGTTGTCTTTTTCACAAGCATGAACACTGCCTCTATTCCTTCCACCATCATCATCACTAACTGGCTCCATGTGTGTGTGTTGTGTTTAACCTCCAGACTGCCCTGGTGAAGACCTGTCTTTTCTGTTAGACAGTAAAACATCCGGACAGCAGCAGTACGTCGCAGAGAGCAGCTACCCTGACCCACCAAAAGTTTCTCACACTTATGAAATTAAAGGTGTGTGTCTCAAACGTCAAGATACAAAATAATATGCAATCATGTTTGCTAATATGATTCATGTGTAGTAGAATTTGTGTCTCTAACTTGAGTAAAAGTAGTAATACACTGTGTCGAAAATATCTTAGTTAAAGAATAGTACATAATAGGCATATGGTATTCTAATTATACAGTTATGATGATTGGTGCAATAATGTGTATATATAACAATGTATTATTCATATATGCTGCTTGGTAGCTTATGGTTTCCTCTTTCCCCAGGGATAAATTATTTTGTTCTTAATCAACAATAATGCATCCTTTTTTTTAATTAAATGTTGTATTATTGAATGGAATCTGCAAAGTATGTATGCTATCAAATACATTTAGTTAAAGCATAATGTTGCCATTTGGGAGTTGTAGTCGGGCAGTACCATAATATAGAAAGTACAAGTACCTTAAAGTTGTACAATAGCAATTGAACTTAGCAAATGTACCTCATCTGATTTTACAACTGGGCATATGTTGGTGTTTTTGACGTATTTCTCATTTATGCTTTCCCCCCCTCAGCGAGCCCTAGTGACTCCTCCCTCTTCAACCTGGACTCATACCACGAGTTCAACTGGTGGGCCTCATATCCACAGGGTGAGCTAATACTCGTACTGTAATTATCTTTTTGTTTTTTCCAAAGGGATTTCTTTGTGACTAACTTTCTGTTTGATTTGCAGATGGTCTGACAGTAGGCCAGTCCCAAACTGGTTACCAAGAGTCTCTTCAGACGTACCAGAGCCTCGTGCCCCAAAATGGACAGTTCAGCCCGGCCCTGGAGGGCAGCCACAGCCCCTTCCTCACTGCCAAAGGAACCTCACAAAGTAAGACACTTTACCTGATGTTAAGAACATGGAGTCAAAGGAGTGACATCAAAAAAGCTAATGTGTAAAAGAATGAGAAAATCAGTGTAAAATATATATAAAAGAACAACAAAAAGTAAATGAAATATGAAGACAAATAAAAATAATAAGCAAATACAAAAATGGAAATATCCAGAGACATTTAAAAGAAAACAAAATCAATATTTTCATTTATTTTCACATGTATTTGTTCATTCATTTTTCTATATATTAGTTGTTGTTTTTTTATTACTCAATATCATTTTTTTTACAAATTTCCAGAAAATAAACTAAAAGGAAAATGAAAAAATAATAGGGTAAAAAATATATATATATAAATGGAAAAACAATATAATAATAATAATAATAAATAATGTATTTTAACTCTTGGAAATGTATTATTCAGAAAAAAATCGAATATCTTTTGTGATGAATAAAATTCCTATATATTTTGTTGTCTTTATATATTATACTTTTCATTATTATATTTATATCTTATTTATTTTTGTTGTTCAGTTTAAGTTTTTCTCATGGGACTTTTATGAAACCATTAAAAACACCCCATCTAATATGTTTCTTCTCTGTGTTTCAGGTGAGACGGATCACAGCTTCTCGTGTCACTCGGCTGAACTCTACGACTCTGACGGGCAGAGGCAGTCGTCGTCCTTCTGGCCGGATTACTCTTCCCCCAACTTCACTGCCCCCTTACCTCACCCACACCCGGCCCCCTGCCCCTCAAACCACGGCCCTCAGTCCTCAGAGCAGTACTGTCCCCGTGTGGTCAAACGCAAAAACACTCACCTTCAGAGGCTGGACAGGGATGGCCAGATGACGGGGATGTCAGCTTATCCAGGTTTGTAATTTATGTTTAATAAATAAATAATAAATAGCGCCACTTTGACAACATTGAAATTATACTTGCCCATTAAATGCATCAATAATCCAGACATCAGTAATACATGCTTTAAGTATATTCTGCTGATAATAGTTATGTACTTCACAAAAATGACCACAATACCTCTTCAACTCATTTATTATAAAAGTTTATAAAAACGACATTGCCATTTTAACTCGATAACAACATTTATTTTTTTATTCAGGTTCTGGTCCAATCCAGTTGTGGCAGTTTTTACTGGAGCTACTACTGGACTCTGCCTGCTGTACCTTCATCTGCTGGACGGGAGATGGCTGGGAATTCAAGATGTCCGACCCTGCAGAGGTAAGAAAAAGTACTACAAAGCAGTAGTGGAAAGAAACAGTACATTTACTTGAGTCCTGTATTTCCATTGTATGCTACTTGACACTTGTATGCCTACTAAACATGCTGTTGACAACTATAAATACTTACTTTTCAGTTTAAGACTATTCATACAAAAACATCTTAAAATTCATAAAATGCATTAAGAATTAAATGAGTGCTTTCTAACCCTTTTGGTCCTTACAAAAATAAATCTGTGAGGGCACAATTCAAATGTCTGAGTGAGTCTGCGACATATACCCTGTGAACATTCAACATGGCGTTTATACACATATTAGTGGTCGAGAGGTCAAATTGTTTATTGTAACAAAAAGATTATAGAAAAGTCAAATACAGGAAGACAAATATTTGTAATGGATTAGTCTTTCCTGTCAACTAAGATTAAGTGGCTGAAAGAGTTTTGCTGCCCTCTCTGGTTGAAAGTGGCAAGCCTGTGTCACCTCAAGCACTTCCTTGCAGCCACTGGAGATAAGCAAGGAAAATATGTTCAGGTGGTGTTATGTAACTCTTTCATCATCTCATGACCCCTCACATTATCTTTTGAACCTCTTGAATAAACTAAACTAAATGTAATGTATATTATTACATTCACTGAAATAGTTCAAACTAGTTCCACCTTGAGCAGCTTCAGCAATAAATACATATAATTGATACTTGTGGTAGGCTACATTTTTCTGATACTACTTCTCACACATTTTACTTAAGGAGGATTTTAAATGCACTTTTAATTGTAATGGAGTATTTCTACATTGATATCATGTCACTTTGGTGTGGGATCAGAGTACTTCTACAACTTTGCAACATTTATTGTTTTCTTAACTAAAGACAATACAATACAAAGGGTCTTTATTGGCATGACACTAAGTTGAACTCTATATGTTTTTGTTAACCCCACAGGTGGCTAAGCGCTGGGGCCAATGCAAGAACAAACCCAAAATGAACTACGAGAAGTTGAGCCGTGGCCTGCGTTACTACTACCACAAGAACATCATCCACAAGACAGCGGGCAAACGCTACGTCTACCGCTTTGCCTGTGACATACAGGGCATGCTGGGAAAGACGGCGCAGGAGGTGTTGACGAGCCTGAACGTTTTGCCGACGAACACAGAGTCGTGGCCCGGGGTACCTGCAGCTACGTCAGAGCACAACAGTGAAACATGGGCGTCAAAGTAGAGAATGGGTGCCAGGAGGACTTAAACCAGCCTATGAAGTAAACACTGCCTCCTCGAGCCCTGTCTGAAGTGCAGTATGGGTGAGGATGATGCAGAGAGCCAAGATGCTGCATTTCAGGGAATAAAAAGATCAAAAAACTCATCAAATTCATGCAATCAATCAATATTTTAGTTTTTCTTAAATAGTGGATCAAATTAGATAAAAGTGTTCCAAAAACTGACCCATTAATAGGCTATAGCATATCAGCCCAAAAAAAACAGCCCAGGGGCATTTGAAGCACTAATACTTGTTTGCAACATCAGGGACCACTCTTAAAATGTTATGTGTTTCTGAGAACTAATTGATTGTAAATAGTGTTCATATGGTCATGCAATGTAGAGTTTTGTGCATTTATATGTATTTTTTTAAATACAAAACTCATGTCTACCTCTGCCTGAAAATAATCTCAGTTTATGTGTTTCTGTTCAGAAACAATCACTGTGAAAGACTGTAGGATGATTGCTTTGTGTAAATAAACTGTATATAAACTCATTGATTTGTGTGAGAGTCTTACTCCATTAATATTGTAAATACTGCCAATAAAACACTAAAATGTGTGTTTCTCATACTTGATAGATGTATATCCCTTCTTGTTATATATTGTTTTAATGACATGAGTACATGTAAGTATCATGCAATTATTATTATTATTATTAGAGTGCATGATACCAAATGATTTTCATGTGAATAGGGTCTTTGTGATTTGTTGGCCTACTCTTCTCTAAATACATATTTGCACTTGAAAGGGGTATTTTCAAAAACAGTCCCTCTTGATGTATGTATGCATTTTCCTGAATCTCGTTTGTTTGAATATCAATCAAACTGGCGATTTAATTATTATCTATAATCTGTTTTCGCAAACCACTTATTTCATTGTGTTTCCTCGTTACATTGACATCTGAGAAGTCATAATTTCGACATTTTCCAGCGGCAGTGAAAGCCTCCTTCCTGAATGCGTCTAAACCTGGTTATTATTTTCTATATCGGGGTGAACGAGGGAAAGTTCAAATCAACAGGACATTTCAGATCCCCCCCACGCAGTAACCAGGTTTAGAAATGTCTTCTCAAAATATTAAGATGGCTATAGCTGACATGTTCGATGGTCTGTCGAGCAGTAACTTTGACAATTTCCGCCACGAGCTTTTACATCGCAATGAAGGACCGCGGGTTGCACGGATCAGGGTGGAGGGTAAAAGCCGCTTAGAGATCACAAACGTCCTCGTTTCCACTTTCACGGAGACTGGCGCTGTTGGGGTAGCTGTGGAGATGTTGAGAGAGATTGCCTGCAACGAGGAAGCAGACCAACTCGGTAAGTGTCGCTTCATGTCTTTGATGCAGAATGAGAACAGAGCCGAATCATCTGCAGAACATTGAACCCTAAAATGTCAGATAAATCACCGACAGTTCACAATTCAAATAGTCGATAATATATAGTAGGCAATATGTTTCTGCATAGATAAAGTTGTACACCATTGTTTGTTTCGATTCGAATAGCCCACGTTTTTTCTCGCTCTTTAACTTGTGCTGTAGGTTAATGTTGCATAAGTTAAGTTTCCTGGAAGTTATGTAACTGACGACCTGCCAGTGTTTCCTTGTTTCAATTGAAATCATCTTACATTTCTCTTAACAATGTAGACATTTCGTAAATCCTTTGAGAATGGCCCAGACTGGTTTCCATTGAGAACACCTTCTGCCATCTGTCTGTACCCTAAATGTTCTTCTTATTTGTTTACAGTCAGAAACACAACCGGAAAACATTAGACTGCTCTTTTTGACAGTAAGTTGGCATGTCCATAATTGGTTTATTAGCCTACATGTAAAGCATTGGGCAAAGATGTACAATTCACATTTAATTTGTTCTTAAATGTCTTACAGCTGCAAGACCCTGACCAGGAGCTGTAGTGAGTGGTATCGGTGGTAATGCAACATCTCAGATTATGTTTCACTGCCTGAATGCTGGATGTTTTAAGGAAACAAATCGAAATAATCTATATCAAAAGCTTCAATCTGAATTGAGATATCTTCAACAACCATGGCACATTCAAATGTTATTTTTATCCCAATAAAGTTAAACGTTTTTAATGAAATCAAAGCCATTGTTTTGGTCTGTATTTCTCATCTTTTGTACTTCTATTCCCATCATGTCCAGCAAGATTATTGCCACACAAGAGGGTAATCTGATACTGAAACATGTATTAATGCTTTGTAGTGTGGCTCTCAGTATAGGCATGGGTATTCAATATTGTTTCCATTTAACCTTTTGAAGAGAAAACAAGCAGGTCTTCATGTAAATGGAGGTGTCTCATAATATTTATCTAGACTATAAAGAGGCCTGACACATGTATGCACTTCTATGTTAACAAATCCCTAAAAAGCAGCCTGCATTACAGAAAATGCCCTTTAAATAAAAGTTTGAATGGCTGTTCTTACCATTAAAACACTAAGGCGTCATGCAGGCTCAGGCTACACTTTACAGTTGCTACAAAATGATTTATAAGATTTAAAATAGATCTGATAGATCTATTCCCCCCTTATACAGCTTCTCAGCAGACCTAGACCACAGTGACATGTTATTAGACTACAGCAGGGGTGTCCAAACTTTTTTTCACAGAGGGCCACAGAAAAATATACGAAGGGCTGGGCCACTTAGAGATATATTGCCTCGTAAGTTAAGTTATAAATTAGCCAAATTTAGGTAAATTAGGCTTGATACATGGATATGCTTTAAGAAAAAAACATCCTGCATCACAGATCTCCAGAGGGTTTCATATCTTGTTGGCAGCTCATTCCTTAAAACAGAAGCCTCAGAGGAAATATGAAGGCTCTATTTCAAGCTTGTTATGTAATTAAGCTATTGGGCTTTTTCTTATCAACTAAGATATTTTAGAAAATGCTTCCAACTTTAATTGACTGAATTTATTTAAAAAGTGGTCTTATACATGAATACTACTGTGTAATATAGTTTTACATACATATTTAAGAAGAGCAATATAAGAAAAGCACAACTTTCATTTGTGGGCCGTATTCCATTATACTTTTTGTATTTGCTGAGGGCCCGGGCCGTAGTTTGGACAGCTCTGGACTGCAGTGTAATAAATCCTGGAAGTTTTTTGACATCCACCTGGATTAATCTTCTTCTAATTGATTCACTACTGTCTCTGTTATACATTTGTTATCTTTCAAATGTACACAACACCTATTGCACGTCTGTACGTCCATGGGAGAGGGATCCGTATACTCTGCTGCTCTTCCTGAGGTTTCTTCCATTTGTTCCCCCCATTGGCTATGGGTTTTATTTTGTAGTTTTTCTGTAAAGCCCCCTGAGACAAATGTAATATGTGTGATATTGGGCTAAATAGCCTTTGATTGATTGATTGAAGTAATATTAGAAAAGCAATAAAAAGGAAACCTGCATCTGAGACTTCCTTTGATGGTTCCCTTTTGATGTCGACTGTTGATTGTCGGGTCAAGGTACATTTTGCTGTGGCAGGCAGCTTTTGACATCTCTCTTCATTGTGAAATAAATACTCAAGTATAGGTGCAGTTTTTGGGTAAACATTCTCCTCTGTTGGTTAAAAATTAGTACTCACATGTTGTTCTGCTTCTTTTTAGCCATTTCTCATGAATTTAAGTCTTGAGATATAGGCCAGTAGCCTATAGTCAACAACCAGTTAATTGGAAAACATTTGGATAATGTCATTCTCAGTCATTCTTGAAGCCAAAAGCCAAAAAATGCTCTGGTTAGAGCCTCTCAAACTTAATAATTTACTTATCTTTCGATTCAACTAATTTGGGATAAAGAACATAATTATCGGTGAAAGCTACTATAGAGTATGTTGGTCTACGTGTGTACGTATAGGCATATACTGCAGTATATAACTAATATATAATGTATTTCCTGTATTATTGACATATCTATAATGATCATTATAGTTTCCCGACTGCATATGAAGGCACCATGAGTCATACAGTCTATGTTTCAAACCCTCCAACGCGGCAGCAGTGAGTCGGTTCAAGAGAAAAGCAAATCCAGCTGTGTGTCCTCTGCAGCTGGTCTGGGAGAAAAAGTCACGTCAGTCCCACATCTGTTGCTGAGAAATGGACAAACGAAAGGCTGTAAAACTCATGTTGTCTAACCTGTCAACGCCCAACTTTGACCATTTCTGCTACGAGCTTGTGCACCGCAAAAAGTTGCCGCGGGTCGCGCTCAACAGGGTGGAGGGAAAAAGCTTCTTAGAGATCACAGAGGTACTGATATCCACTTTCAGTGAGACCCGAGCTGTCGAAGTGTCTGCTGAGTTATTGAACGAGATTGATTGCAACAAAGAAGCAGCCCAACTGTGTGAGTACTTCATGGTTTGATGCAGTCAGTCTTTCGACTGAAGAACATTGAGCCCTACATGTCTGTTGCAGATTATCTGCGACAAATAACAACGTTTAATCAATGAGGGTTTACTTGACGTAGCATTTATTCTTATATTTCTACACAGTTTAGGACATTTAACCGCCTTATCTTTACTTTCACTTCAGAGCAGGGGCTCGGGCTGCCGGTTATGGCTAGAAAGGATCCGTCTTGTGTAAAACTCTCGCGAGAGTTTGGCTGAATGTCACGTGGCTGAATGTTTACGTTTGGCAGGCAGCCTTTCAGTTACGATCGTTAACATCAGTGGGCCACAGCAAATGATGATGAGAAGCTAAACTATCTATTAATTATGTCAATTACAGGGAGTGTGATTGTTGAAATAGGGTGTTAGCGGTCTTGCTGGTGTTCAAAGAAGAATGACAACACTGTAGATCACCAACACTATGGTTTATTTTTTATTCACAGGCAAATCAACGTTGTCGCAGTAAAAGTCCCAAGATAGTTCCTGGTGCAATAAAATGTTCCCTTGCAGTGTTTTACTATTATGTCTGATGTTTCTCTATTAATATTGCTGCTGCATTAATGTGTATGTTGCGTCATGTTACTTCTGTAGATGTGTTTCCGAGCCGCTCCGATTACAACGAGAGTTACAACGAGAACGTGACGTCATATTTACACTAGACGGATCCTTTCTAGCCATAACCCGGGCTGCCTGAGGGCAGAGAACCGCCCTACTTGCTTCCTATAGGCCAGGGTATTTTCAGTGTCTATCTTTGTTATACAGTGTTTCTCAATGAGAAATATAACTCCTTTTATGTCCTTCTTTCTGCATGTGCTTAAAAAAAATAGGCTGTTGAATGTAGAAAATAATGAAAACAATTATTTAATTCCTATATAAATTCTTGTGATGTGTATTGGAAAGTTAATGTTTAGACATTGTTAAAGGTTCCCTTTTGAAAAATGTTTGTATTAACATTTTATACAATAAAAGACATGCACACATACAGAAGTGGGCTTCGAAAGCTCAACATTCCCTGAGGTACAGGTGCTAGAAAAACAAACAAACGGATGCACAGCAAACATAAATTAAAAGAGTAATACAAAAAAAGCTAAATAATTATAATAAAATATATTTCAAAACAACCCTTCATACAAAGACATATCGTACGCACATTTCAAAATTGAGTAACATTTGCAGCCAAAGTAAATTCAATTCAATGCAGTTCCATGGTTTGTAGTTTGAACTCACAAATCACATTATGAGGTTTATAGTCAGTAGTACTCAATTATCCTCATCATCAGCTCCATACCTTAGAAGAATGTGTTTTGCCTGAAAAAAAATAAGCCACACATTGTACAGAAACCATTCACCATAAAAAAAAGATATCATGCCCAAACCCAAGCTTTGAGTCTAGAGAACCATTGTTTGTTCATGTGTCCTATGTTTAACCTGTATCTTATGTGCAGTTGTAATTCTGTCTTTTTATTTCTAATGGTGTCTTTCTTTCTTGTTTGCAGTTAAAGATACCGGTTTACAGCCCTAGAAATCTGGTTCCAGTGACAGTGAGTCCTTTTCCTGTTTTAAAAGAGAAAAACATCCTTTTCATGTGTTCAAAATGTCTGTGGTTGAAAATAGGCATGTGCCTTTTGACCTCCCCACCTGTGTTTTTCCTACTATGGCAGCATGTAAACATTTCTGCTGTGAAAACATCCAACAAAAACATTGATTTGAATTGTATTAAACACACAGTGTGAGGTGTTAGGAAGCTCTTTCCAAAGCCAGTATGGAGGAATGATTACAAACTAAACTGTTTCAGTGTAGTTCTGACACTACTCTTTCCTCAGAATCAGATTGGTAAAAGGATTAAAGCAAACTGGCTGAACAGGATTCCAAATCTATTGCTTAATGGTTCCAGGGGTGGCAGTCGTAACACCCCATGTGGTATGTTCTACTATAAGATTACATGTCAGTTGTTAGACGCTTTTATCCAATACATACTCAATACTGTGGGCAATCCACACAGGAGCAATTTGGGGTGAAGTTTCTTGCCCAGGGACGCAACGACATGCTGACTGCAGTGGGGTTTGAACCTGTGCTCCCCTGATCCAAACACCAACGCACTAGTCCACTGTGCCACACGCCTCCGTCTAAGATCATATAGTAGATCATTTCTCAACCTCCAGGAGAAAGTGATTTTTTGCTTTTGGATTATGCGCAAACATAATAAGTCTTTATTTATATAGCACTGTTCTTAACACTGTTAAAAATAAGAATCATAAAAACACCAGAGGATAAATGACATGAGAGCCCACCTGGCACGTAACATTAATAAAAACAAAGTAGATGGAACATGGGACCATTGTTTTAAGATGTACTTGAAAAAAAATGAACAACCAAATTGTAGAGAAACTTTAAATCATAAGTGATCTCATGCCCAAACCCATAAACTCCAGGTTTAGCAAGCCAATCACAGCATGCCCGTTAATGTGTCCTACATTAAACCTGTGTTTCAAGTTATTATTCTCTCTTATTTCTTACTCAGTATCTTAATGCTGTGGTTTTATTCAGACTGATTACAGAACCTAATCGTTTGCAGATCACTGAACCCTAAATGTCTGCTTGCAGATAAATTAGTGACACATTTACAACGTTTAATCTGAATTAATAATTTGTAGTAGGCATTTATGAAGCTATAAACCATCGTCTCCCCACGTTTATTTTATGATCATCCATTTATCTAAAAAACTTAAACAATAGTTTGATTTGCTATTATTTTCTGAAGAATGGCCTTTTTTTCTGCATTAAGTTGTTTACATTTAAAGCATTGGGCAAAGACTGTATTTACAAATGAAATGTTTTCTTATTGTTTTTACAGCTGCAAGACATCAGGAGCTGTAGGGTGCGGTCTCCATTCGTGATAATGCAACATCTCAGAACATGTTTCACTGCCTTCATGCATGATGTTAGCTCTTCCTTTCTTTAAGTGAAAGAAGAATAATCTGATATAATTTATATCAATAGCTTCCATCCTAATTGAGATCCCCACAACAACCAACTGAAAAAAATGTGTACAGAGCCTATAGAAAATAATCAAACCCCTTTGAAATAGTGACTATCATAGAGCCTGAAATATAAATCCATTAAAAAAAATACTTTTTCCAGCTTTATTTACAAATGTAGCTTTAAAACATCAAACTAATGAAAAAAGGTGACAGTTCTGGATATTGATACAAAATGAAAAACTAGAATAACAGGGTTTTAGAAGTGTTTAGGAATAGAAATGTAAGAAACAGCTGGTTTTATTTATTATTTTAAGTAATACAAATCACTTCAATTGATGTCAGGTGGTGGGCAATTAGCCTAATGTTGGATCTGGAAGTTGCATCTGAGCATATTCCTAAACTCTAAGGGACTGATGACTTAACAAAACCAGGTATTTAACTAATCAATGTTTAATAATCGTCCAGAATTTGGTCATTTTCGCTTTGATGATGAGGGTTATAATGTGTACATACAGCTAAGAAAAATGAATTTGTGGAACATTCAACTGTTTTCCTTGTCACATTAAAGTTTTTAATGAAATCATAGTCATTGTTGATAATGGTCTGTATCGTGTCTCTGTTTCCTCATCTTTCACACGTACGCAACATGAACTGCCCAGCAAGATTATTGTCACTCAAGAGGGTAATCTGAAACTGAAACACTCATGAATTTGTACTCTGTTGTCATTATAAAAAGTATTTATTGTGTCTTTTCATCTGTGACTCTCAGGATGTGTAAGGCATGAGTATTCAGTGTTCCTTTAAAACCTTTTCTTTTTTTCTTTACATCAATTAACTGAATCAATTGAAGAAAACAAGCAGGTCTCCATGTAAATGAAGGTGTCTTTGGTGTATGAGGCCCTGACACATTTATGCGGCTATACATGAACAAATCCCTAAAAAGCTGCCTGCATTATACATAAAATGCTTTTTAAACAAAACTCTTAATGGATATTCCTGCCATTATAAGACAAAAGCATCATGTAGGCCCATATGCTATACAGTAGCTAAAGGGATTTATTAATATTGATAAACTACGTAAACCTACTTAAATCCATTTTGTTAATGTAATCCAGTCAGGGGGATTTACAATCTGTGATACCCTCTGACTTGAACCTGGATATCTGTAAACAAAAAGATCCCATCCTAACCGTAATGATATTATAAATTAAGTAATCAGTTTGCTTTTTCACACTCAGTGTCTCTGCCTCGTTTCATCTGCATGCAGCGTCTTGTTTGTAACATTCCAAGTTTCACTATGACCCAGCCTTGTGTCAATGAGTTGATATTTAATAGAGGTTACATAAAGTGCTGCCTTCCGATACATTCGGTAATACTAACACCAAGTACCTATCCCAATCATATAGCCTTGGCTGTAGGCACTAAAAGCTTTATTTACAAGAGATAAGATATCTTTCAGTAGGCTACTCTCCTGGCTGGCAGAGCGACCTTTGGCTTTTTCCACTGAGGGTTGTGTCTATTTTCACTTTCTAAACCATAAGCATTGAAATATAAGTGAAGTTTCTCAGTAGGATGTATCATTAGATTAATAAGGCTTATCAGTTTTGCGATTGCGAGAATCGAATTAGGCTAAATTGTCTTGTCTTCTTTTTACAATCAGCGCTTGAAAAGATAGGCACTTGCAAACGACAATGTATGAAAAAATGAGATGCAAGCCACGGGCAAAACTGTGAATAAAAAACGTATACTGTACATTTTAGAGCCGATGAATGGGAGTCAGAGGCGGTGCATTCAGAATGGATTTCCACACTTTATTATTATTAATCCAGACAACGTGAGTACATGAGCTGCTCTGTGTAACCAGCTAGCATGAATGAACTCTCACCCCGGTACCCCCACTAACGGGTCCGGGTTGCAACACACACTGTATGACACAGTGAATTATGTCCCGTAACTGTCACCACACAAGCCCACCCAGAATTCACTCGTACACAAAGTCTGTGCGGCGGGGAGGAACGACAAGCCGAACACCCCGACTCCGAAGAACGGGAGCCGGGGAGGCGACCTCTGAAGGGGCGGCCGCTGGAAGAGATGGGACCGGAACCGCAGGCCCCAATTCTGTGACAGGTCGACCACCAAGTGCTTGTCCCCGTGTTCCAAGACCCGGAAAAGGCCCATCTAAGGGGGCTGCAGGGGGCCTCTGTGCGAGCGGAGCATGTGTTCATCCGACACGCCTTGAGAGCTCGGCCTTGAGGGCCGCGATGGAAACGTTCACATATGCCGTTAGCCTGAGGGTGGTAAGCGGTAGTCCTGTGAAGCTTAACCCCCAAACCACTCGCCACGGCGTTCCAGAGCTCGGACGTGAACTGTAAACCCCGGTCCGAGGAAACGTCTGACGGGGTGCCAAACCGACACACCCACGTCGCAATGAAAGCCCGGGCTATGTCAGCCGCCTATGTTGACACGAGAGGGACCGCCTCCGGCCAACGGGTCG